GGAGGGATGTTAAGTTTGATGTTGAAGGTAGGACCAGTTGTATTTCTCATGCCAGATTGAGTCTCTTTGTGTCAGCTGATACCACATCGCTCCCAACCTCGGTGGATTGGAGATCTAAGGGTGTATTAACCCCGATTAAGAATCAAGGAGCCTGTGGAAGCTGCTGGGCTTTCTCAACGACCGGTAACGTCTCTTGGACGTACTTGTGTGAACCTTTGCAGGTACTCTCGAGTCGCTGTATGCCATCGGCACGGGTCAGCTCCGGTCGTTCTCTGAGCAGCAGCTTGTCGATTGCAGTAGAGGCTATGGGACCGGGTAAGTGGCATCGATTGGCCTTGGTACTAGGAGCCATGATAAAGACAAGAATATAGTTTTTTCATGGCTCCTAAGACCGAGGCCAATCATGGTACATTATCCGAGGATCGAACTCGGGTCAAAACTATGGCACCGTTGTATTCTACCACTAGACCAAAGCCAATCAGCAGCATATTCATGTGTTTCTCGTCCAGTTTTGGAGGACTATATGTTTGCTCTCCTCAGCTGAGCCTAAGAATTCTTCACTGAATAAAAGAATGTATATACGAATTTGGGTGAGCAATGGTTTCGAAGATTTCCTCAAAATTTCAATATTCTCACCAACACATGTAGTTGAGTATGTCTACATTTTACACTAGGAAATTTTCACACAGCTCACATTTCAGTGGATGTGCTGGAGGCTGGATGTATCAAGCTTTTGATTATGTAAAGGATAAAGGGATCGATCTCGAGTCTACCTACCCTTATGAAGGAAGTGACAATACTTGCCGAATCTCCCTTGAGAAACTCTCCGACGGCATGAAGGTAATATTTGTATCGAACACTACTACTATCATCATCATTCCTAACAGGCCGGGGTTGTTACTGGCTATTACCAGCTATCAACTGAGCCGTCTTTGATGAGTAAGTTAGTTTAAGTTCCAGTCTCCGTCGCCATGTATGCTTCGGATCCCCGATTCCATTTTATAGCGGTGGATATACTCTGGTAGTTTTGCGCTCATGCTGATGTGTAGGATACCACCGGTTTCGGTGACTGTATTATCAAATGATCACGCTGTTGTGATGGTTGGTATGGCAGCGTATCTGGAAATGAGTAAGAATATGGCACCGTATGGATGCTTACTGCCACTTTTTTTATCAGTTATTTTATCGGCCAGAATTCTTGGGGAACTTCCTGGGGTATAGATGGGTACTTTT